AGAAGGGACCCAATGCCAGTAGCGTTAGGCATTTCTTCCTTACAAACCAGAAAGGGAAGAAAGTTCAGTCAAAGAATCTAAAGATAAGCCTATTCATAACAAGCACTTGACATACAATCCTCGCAGGTCGTTCATCGTAAGCCACAGAGATAGTTGTTTTATAAATCACTATCCCCAAGCCACAGTTTGAACGACCCGGAATATAGTTAACTGTTGCTTCCAAATTTTCTAGAAAAAAGGATATATATTTTTTTTTACTATACTTATTTTCAATCTGAGTCAAAGGGAGTCTGAATTTTAATATTCAAAAGGGTTATATCTCATACACACTAGATACTTAGAATAATTATTGATTTATGAAATGCCTCACACTGTGATCAGTATTGCCATGCGAAACGGCTCTGACGCTAAAAAAAACAAAAAAACATTAAGCTCCGTGCTGGTAGACGTGTCCGGTAGAGGTCTGACGCTCTGATGGCCAGTGGTCTGTCTTTACTGTATTTCTTTTCAACACACTGCTTAGTAAGAAAACTGCATTAATTGAGTATTGAAAAAATATCGATTTATGTACTAATATGAAAAATAATAAACACCAAGAAGCCCATGTCATCAGAAAACCAGTGGAAAAAATCATCTAGGAAAAAAAGACGAAATAACAGTGGCAGTAGTCACTGTGATTAATGCCAAAGTAGACTATTTTTTCTTAAAAAAAAAAAAGCTATTGTACGGATTTACTCAATAGCTATTCATTCTACAGAGTATTTTAATACTATTTAAGATGATGTTAACAGGCTCAAACTACACATAATCAAAATATATTATTAAGACATTTCTCTCAAGTCATTTGAGACTCAGCCTCCTCAGATTGCCATAAACCATTGTTCCTGACAAAGATTCGATCTAGTATAATTACCATAACGGATTAACTAGGATTATGAGATACATAACCATCATTAGGCAGTGAAGTAATATTTTATCAGCTTCATTTAAAACGATATGTACAGCCTATCTAGGTGGTGCTTCTTGGGCACCGGTTATGATCACAAAACTAACTTCTGTCTCAAAATACAAATAAATAGTTTTCTTTTACCATCCATCCATAGGAACAACCCAAAGTTTTGAAAGGTTATCACTAACAGTGTGATGAGATGAGAGAATTTCTAATAGGTGAAACCAAAAACTGCAATCACCATCCTAATGAAAAGAGACGCACACTATTGACTCATGGCTAGTTGATAGCTCGACATCTTTGCAATTTATTAGCTTATATAGACACTATACGGAAATTGCTGTTGACATTGCACTTATATCAAAATACGGACCGAATGAAATTCAAATATTTCTGAGGAATTATGAAAATGTTAGTTCAACCATTTTTCTTCTTTCTTGCTGACAAAATAGGGAATGTTTGTATCTCCATCTATCCACTGAGATGTAAAGAACGAAAAATATGAACACAGAACCTTTTGCTGGTGGCGAAATAAGGAGTTAAAAAGAGGACCTAATTTCTTCGTCATGGTTTGAGGGTGTACGAATATTGTACATTGGCGAACAAATATCTTTTGGGATGAAAAGCCATACCGACAGGTCATATAGGGAAAAAACATGAAATTAGCTGTAATTCGTTATATTCTTAGTACAAGATGCTTCAAAGTACTATGCTATCTCCATAGACTTCCCCTTTAATCGTACGTAGATAATAGCAGCCTCTGTGTTTCAGTATCCTTGCCAAGTGCACATGAAGGACATTTATAAAACTTGGCTGTCATTAATAGTGTGCACAAAAATACACAGAATCTTTAGACTTTGTATGTACTTAATTGAACAGCTTTTTTGCATGATTAGCATATATAAACTTAAACATTTTATACTAGTGCAGTATCTGGAATAACAATTGCTGACTACTGTAAAAGCAGGAAAACCATATACAAGCAGAATTATCCATTGTACGAACACTATTTATTTGTCTGCCTGCCTGTCTATCTGTTTATCTATCTCTCTATCCATTCGTCTGTCTATTTATCTATCTCTCTATCCATTCGTCTGTCTATTTATCTATCTATCCATTTGTCTGCCTATTTATCTATCTCTCCGTCCATCTATCTATCTCTACGTAACTCTACACTTTCCAGTTCCGTCTCTTGTACTCAGGAATTGCGTTAGAGTTATAGATACTACGGCTCTTGGTGAAGCTTTATGGTGTCTCTTCATAAGAATGCCGAGGGATTATAGGCGTATCCAGCAAGTTTATGTGCAAGGTTATTTCAGGAAAATTGTTTGTGTGTATGTGTTTGTGCGTGTGCGTGCGGTAATCTCGCCTTTATAGCCGTATTTACATTATTATAATTTTTCGTAGATAAGGACGTCGTATGTATAGGGTTTACTTCATAATGTCTATGGATTAATGGTGTCATCACGATCATTAGTCCGCCAACTCACGTTCGGATCCCGCGCCGTCTGGAAAATGAGCACAAGCAGTGAGACGAAAAGACGAAAAATA